ACCAAGCCCGAAAGAATGCCGTTACAGAGCGCGCCGACATCGTACTTGCGCACGAGCGCGAACTTCAGCAAGAACACGGTGATTCCGCAGGTGGCTGCAGAGAGAGTGGTGTTCATGGCCACCTGTGCTGCAAGGGCACCCATCTCCTTGTCGTGCATCGACAGAGTGGAACCTGGGTTGAAGCCATACCAGCCGAACCAGAGCGCGAAGGTGCCGAGCACGACCCTCAGCTGTTCTTTCATATACGTATGTCTACATGATTTCATAGGATTAACTTTGAAACATACACAGAAAGCATACACACATGTAAAGATCGCACATGGTCATTTCTGTGACTGCCAGCAGGTCTCAGTGGGATGTTGTGGTACTCGAACTCCTCGGGATTCTCGAAGCGTCCCCTCCGGGGGCCAAGGATGACCGTGCCAGCGAGGCCGCAAACGCCTCCGGTGAAATGGACAACACCTGCGGGAGCCGGAAGGTTCTAGAATCTTAGGTACTAGCTTCTGTTTAGGTGCTTCTTTCCGCCCTATCGTCCTGATCCGGCGAAATCCATGTATCCCACATCGAAAATGCTGGCGAGCCAGCCGCCACCCCAGGTCCAAGCGACAACAACTGGGTAGATAAAGCTGGTCATGCAGAAGGCAAAGAAAGCGTAGGTGGGACTCTTGACACGCTCTGCCACGCAGCCACTCACGATGGTGGCGCCTACGCTCAAACACGCAAGAACTCGGGTCAATCTAGGAAAACACGTAATGAGGACTACTGACTACGGTCACATGTGGAGAAAAGGACACGACAACTCAGCTTGGTGCCAGCTGTGCAGAAGGCCTAGGCTGTTTTGCAACCCACTGGGACAAAGCATATGCTTCTAGGGCTCAAATAGTCATAATAGAGTTCTTATACCAGCAGCTGGGCACAGCTTGGGCAACAAAACGCAAAAATGATGCCACCGAACATCCAAGAGGCCCACTGGAAGAACCAACTCAGCATCGTAGACTGGCAGTTCCCGTCCTGACACTCCACCGGGACGATGTTGCCAGATGCATCTTTCGTGTAGAAGCCAAGGCCGAAGAAGCCATCTGTGCCAATGAAAGATCCGGCTTGATTTCCATAGGCAAGGGCCCAGCCAAAGATCCACCAACCCAATGTGCCAACGCTCCTTGGCTGACTTCTGAACCCCAAAGTTAAACTTGTAGCCTACTTATATTATCATATTATAGAAACCCCAAAAGCTTAAAGTCCTGAGAGCCAACCAGAAGAACGCCGAGGCTCACGTTCACTAAGTTTTTCATCAAAACGTTCGAAGCATTCTTTGCACGGCAGCAACCGGTCTCCAACATTGCAAACCCGGCATGCATGAACATAACCAGCGCTCCACAAAGGACCAGCCACGCCGAGTCCATGGCGCCAGCCATACTCTCCTGGGTTTCGGTCATCTGCTTCAGCTCCTTTCGCTGCTCCTCCAACAACGCTTTTTGGGCCTGCAGCTCGCGAAGGAGCTCAGCCGGAGAGTCCTGCGACATCGCTGTCGCGGCGAAGGCGGCAGCAAGAGCAGCTGCGAGACAAACCTTCATGCTCACGACAATCGAGGCCCAGTTGCCACTTCGCTCTTCTAACTGCTTGCTGTGCACAAAATTGGCTGCAGCCGGATGTCAGGCCGAAAGCCTGAGCACATGCCTCAGCTCTGAAAGCCTTAACTCTTACACCCCTGCTACAACCCTGGCGGACTTCAATTCAGTAGGTCCGCAGGCAGCCGGAATGCCAGGCACGGCAGCTTAAAAGACCACACCAAGGCTGCAGGAACCTCATTGTAAGAACAGCACTTCGTTTCAAGCCCGCTGGGAACCCGTTTCAAAAAGAACGCGGACGCGCCTCCTCTTCCTGGCGACGTTTCTTGTCTTGTCGCCTCAGAACATTTTCCAAGCTTGCAAGCGATCTTGCGGCGTTGTGAGCCGGTTATTTTTGCCTCCTACATGGCTGGGCGAGTCGCGAAGTAGGGTAGTCAGCCGGTTGGATGTTATAGTTAACGTGCATTTCGAGTTTTCTTGCGGAAACCAGAAAAGCTGTACTGAGCATGTTGAGTATCCTAGTCCTAGCTCACGTGGGGCCACTGAAGCCTTGAAGAGACCTGTTGGCAAAAGCCCAAGTACGCCATCTTTGCTGACATGTCGCTCATCTTCCTCGTCCTGCGTGCAGCACGACACGGGAAGTGGCATGGGCGTAAACATATTCGCCAAGCAAGTCTGGTGCACTTCAGCATAGCCCGGGCTGTGTGAAGACAAGTACTATGTGCAGGAACCGTCCGAAGCCACGGGCACGCAGCAACGAAACATGCGTTCCAACACGGCCTCCAACCGATCGAACAATGCTGGACCCATCACTGTGACAGCGACCCATTAAACCACGGCTACTGCTTCTGATGTGATTTGTTCATCGCGGGGAAAGATGTGATGCTTACGTCTTCGTAGGGAGGTCCTCGGACGGCTCACGCTGACGGCCACGCGGCTCGCTATCGTCTTTCTCCTGTCAGGGTCCGATGTCATGGCTGTTTCTGTGAACAAAGTTTTGATGATGGTGGTCGAGCCACGTCGGTTAATCGGTTAGTCCGATCAGGGGTTCAGAAGATGGGCTCGCCCTGGCCAACTGCCGGCTGGCAAATGGCAACGGCAACAGGAAGGCAGAAAAGAAGTCCCACGACAGAATTGCTCACCTTTGCAGTGATGACAGGTTTGATGACAGTCATTCCCTGGATTGCCGGTGAGATCAGTTAGTTCGTTGCCACTACACTGGTCACTAGCTGTAGTCACTGTAGTCACTAGCTCACTAGCTGCTTTGTCCGACCGCTTCGATTGGGCTGCTCGCTTTCGGATGCAACCTCGGTCCTCTCGGCCCTTCCGCTTGTCCGGACTGTCTGCCTTTCGCCGGTCCTCGTCAAACGCCGGCACTGTCTGGGTCTTCTGATTCTTCTCGTGATGTGGGGTAAATCCTGGCTTTTCCTAGGGCCACAACCATCCCAAACACCCTACATGCGTACAGCCCCCAAGTCTTGAAATCCAGAGGCATTCCGGGGGAATGCAGCCAGCCCCACTCACCAGTAGCACTACAAAAACGAGCAATTTCTGACAGGCCGGTCCAGGAGATCAGTCACAGGGCTCCAGGTTTCAATCTGATCTTGTCGTCGAAATCATATTGTATGCCGTTACGGCCGACACCGCCAGCCCCGCCAGCACCCCCGCTCCAAGCTCAGAGCATGTTGCCAGCCAGAATATGTATCTCAATAGATCGAGACTCAGGAAAATACATGTATCAAGTACAAAATACTGCTCTACTTACACGGAGCGAAATGCACTACTAGGGCCGAAGGGCGCCAGCTGAACTGCCCGCACTTCCGGCAATCGCTCCAAGATGCTACTTTTCACTTAAACCAATAAGCAGAACAGCTAAATACACATGTATGTATGTAGGTATGTATGTATGTAGAGATAGATTAGATTCGAGTAGATTACGGTTATGAGGAAAAAAAGAGAATAAACAGATAGAAAAGTAGATAGATAATATAACGATAATATAACACACGGTTTGGGGCTTTAGGCGTTTTAGGGCCAGGGTTGAAAGGCAGATTGGGATTTCCGTTGGGAGTTGTCTCGCGCAAGTACGCCAATATGCCTCCAAGTCCCAGTCGGGCCTTTGCGGAGAAGCAGTATTGTAGAGGCTTTGATAATTTCAACAGGTTTTGGAGAATATCATACTATATGTAAATATAGTAAGGAGCCGCCAAAATAATAGTACTGGCAGTTGTTTAGGCCCCTAGGTTAGCTGAGAGTGACCCTGAGGCCACAAGCCGACCCAAGAGCTTGAGCCTTGAGGTTCTTAGGTTTAATTTACGGTAGAACCCATGGGCCCCTAGTATGGGCCCTTAACCCTGGGACCCTAGAATCCCCCAAGGGCCCATGTTAGGGGTCCATGGGTTCAACCTTAGGTTTAAGTAGCATGGTTTTTGTTGCCCCTTACTGGCATGGATTGAGGGCTTCGGGTTCAGGGTTGAGGGTGTTGAAAGGTCTAGGAGGTTCTAAACGTGAACAGTCTATCTTGCCTGCTGAAGTCCCAAGAAGCCCCTTCGAGAAGATGCGGTTGCAACTATTAGTGGCCATGGATGGCAAGGATCACAGCGGTGGCAGCGCCAAAAGCAGAAAGGATAAACTAGGCAAGTGCAGAGGAGACCTTTGACTCTTAGTTGCTCCACGCATCTCAACAAGAAAGTGATAGTACTAGACCACGCACTACTAGTAGAACTGTAGTATCTCGAACCCTGAACCGAAAACCCTAGGCTTTCCTTGGCATCCTCTGATCGATCTCGGCCGCGGTGGTCTCCGCGCCTGTCGCGGCCTCGGTCGTCACGTCGCCTGTCCTGTCGGCCGCAAGATCTAAACACAACTTACAGCTCTTTTTCATAGAGATCTTCTTGAGGTACAGATTTAGGGTCAACATGGGTTCAGGGATGTTTAACGTCTTGACGGCTTAGGCATTGATGTGTCGGGTTGGGGCGTCGGACGGTTCGCACAGAGCGTGGCCTCGGAACGATCCCGACCCCGACGATCGCCACGGCGATCGCGGCCGCGGTCGTCCCGGCGACGGTCCTGCAGAGGCAGTGGTCGGCACAGGGGCTTTCAAAAAGCCATCAGCTGAAAAAGCTTCGAGTTAAGACAAGAGCAGCAGCACCCCAACCACTATACTGGCATTAGTATTAGCAGCTGCACCAACACCCAGCGGCACCCACCGCTGAAACTTGAAATGCATGCATAAAGAAGACGACGAAGACAAGATAGTTGTAAGTTTTAATCGTAAATGTCATGACAACGTAGTAAACACACTTAAACCGATCCAAACATTTCTACTGCATCCGCTCTGCACAAAGGTCCAGGAATACAGTCTCCCTCTCGCTCCAGTCCTCCGACCGGTCCCGACCCCTCCGATCTCCGCGCCGATCGCGGCCTCGCTCATCGCGTTCCTGCTCAGGCTTCCCTCAAAAGTCGCAAAACGACCGAAGCCAACGCTGAAATCGTACTACAAGCATTGCTAATTGCCCACCCTTCCGGACTGTTCTTCTTGAACTTCTGGCAGTTCTTATGCAGCAGTCTCAATATCTGTTTCGCCTGCTTTTCACAATGTGTCACTCAGTGCCCATCTCGACATGTCTGCGCTTACTCTCCTACATGTGGCGTGCAGCGTACGGAAGGGTACGGAAACAGCAAGCAATCTTGTCTGAGGCCAGCCAGCACCATGCCCTCAATTCGACAGCTGTATACCCGAAAATGCAGTGGAGAGTGGCAATTCCCCGAACCTACATCGGAACTTTGCAACGGAGGTCTACTGCTAATCACTGAAATTCACTAACAGAAACCATCCCCGTCATCCCAAGCTGACACCTGCTGCCCCCCAACTCTCAACCCCGCCCCTCGACCCTTTCGCCCCCAAACCTCACCTTGAAATCCCACAGAACTCTTGCATCAATATATCAATACCCGGAGCCTCTCGGCCCCTTCGAGGCTCGCTCTCTTTTCTCCGGTCCTGCCAAAAGCAGTTCGGCGGAGCTTGCCCTCCTCTATACAGAGGAATAACATAAATATAAATCTCAGCATCAAAGCAATAATAACACACCAACTACCGTACGACTGCTGCCACTACTACTACTCCTCCTCCTCCTCCTCCTCCTCCTTCTCCTTCTCCTCCTCCTCCTCCTGCACCTCCTCCTCCTCCTGCTCCTCCTCCTCCTACTACTACTGCTACTACCACCACTATGACTACTACTACTACTACTACTACTACTACTACCACTGCTACTGCTACTGCTACCCATTTATCCCTAGGCTCTAAGCCCTCCAAGATAAGCAGGCATCCTCGGATCGATTGCGCTTGCGGCCCTCCCCACGGCGATCGCGGCCCCGATCCTCGCGATCTCGGTCCTTCCGATGCAGGCGATGCATCAATTACGTGGATTCGCACCGTAACCGAAGATGAAAAGGAACATGGCGATGCCGGATGTGTGCGGACCATGGTGAAGACGCAAGACATGATGACGGCAATGCACATGATTTCCATAGTGTCCAGGTGGAGATAGCCATGATTCTGTGACTATGGTGATGAGCATGACAATGGGGATGCTGCTGTTGATGGTGAGTCTGATGATTCAATGATGACGCTGGGGGAGTTGGTGATGGCAATGGCGATGACGATAACGACGATGTTGTTGATGAGGATGATGATGATCATCAGGACGACGATATTGATCAGAGCAGCAGGACGAGTTGGCGTTGGCGATATTTCTTGTTTAGATTTCGATGCCGATGAACAAAACCATAAAAGTCAGTAGACATGACGCTGTTGCTTGTAATCTGGTGCCGATTGTGGGAATAATGATGGCGATGCTGAAAGTGATGATGGCGACGAGGATGATGGTGGTGGCTGTAGAGGCACAGGTTAAGACGGTTTGGTGACAGAAACTGTTCCAGGAGACACCGAAGTTTTCAATACTTGGAAGGTGAGGTTAGGTTTCTGAAGTGGCAGCTGACAGCAC